TATGAAAAGAAGGTCTTGTGGTCCCTTTCTTTTATGGGCTTCCATTATGTTTAGCTGTGCTTAGTCTATATCTCGTATTTTACAGTTCAAAAAAATATTTTTTCCCATTGAATTAACATGGGGCACCAAATTTAGCGATTTTTGAATTTTCAAAACGCCATAACTTCTGAACTGGAAGTCAGATCGAAATTTGGTTTTCAGATTCGGAATCCTGAGAAGATTTCCCATAAGACTAATATCCTGGACATTGGATTCGGTGAAATTTCTTTTGGACCTCGTTTTCGGACACTGATATCTCGAAATCGGTTTGAGATACCAAAAAACTAAATCGAACCTAGGTTTTCTACTTTTTTATGAGGAACACAATGAAAAAAACCAGGATCAAAAATATTGAAGGACGACCGAGATAATGGGAAAAAGTGACAAAGTACTGGATTTGACCTAGTTCTTGACCTTTGACCTAGATAAAAATTTGACCTAATTTCCCAGAAAGCCAGATACATTCCCTAGTTAATCATGTAAGCAGCTTAAAGTAAGCTCTTCTAGTTGGTGAGAAATCTGGGAAGGAGGAAGAAGAAGAATAATAATAATAACTAGACATTTAAAATCGCCACGGGGGCGATTTCGTAGAATGCCGTTCCTCGCCGCAGCAGCAAATTCGGTGCACAATTGACCTTTTTCAAGGTCACGCAGAGGTCGAATTCCAAAACCGAAAGCATATTTGATATCATATTTTGCCATATTTTTGAAATTTTGGCACTCAATTTAAAAACCCGTACCCTTATCCTCCCAGACGCGCTTTAAAGCGCTGTCGCGTGCCCCCTATATAGATTAGGAAAACATATTTAGAATCAGGGACATCCATACTTCATAATTGCAAAGAATTGGAATGAAAATCACCCAAATTATAAACCCTAGAGATATGTTAAATGGGAAGAGTAAGGCATGCAAAAAATAACTACAGTGGCTCCTTGAACAGGTAAAACAAGAAATAAGTTTTACGTCATTTTACGGTGAAGGTCAAAGGTCAAGGTCAAAATGTTGACCTAATTTACTCTAGTTTAGTACAGTGTAATACAATGGTACCAATTTCGAATCAATTTGAGCAATTTTAGCAATTTAACCTTTTTGACCTTTTCAAGGTCACCCGGAGGTCAAATTCCAAAACCACAAGCATATTTAGAATCAGGGACATTCATACTTCATACTTGCAAAGAATTGGAATGAAAATCCTAGTTTTCAACTTTGAGGTCATTTGAAGGTCAATGTCAAAGGTCAAGGTCAAAATGGTGACCTAATTTACTCTATCCGAGTACAGTGTAATACAATGGTACCAATTTGGAATCAATTTGAGCGATTTTGATTTTTGAACTTGTTGACCTTTTCAAGGTCACTCAGAGGTCGGATTCCAAAACCGAAAGCATATTTGGAATCAGGGGCTTCTATTCTTTATATCTGCTCAGAATTGGGATCGGATACACAGTTTTCAAATTTTGCCCAACTGGGGTGCCCCATTTTTCAAATTTGGGGCACCCAATTTTAAAACCCGGAATATATGTGAAATGGCAATTGTGAGGGATGGCATATGCAAATTTTGGGTAAAAAATAAAAATGGTTACTCCTTGTACGTGCAAAAATGTAAAAATTTGCGATTTGACCTTGGCTAATTAGGGAGGGGCTAATTAAAAAAATGAAAGCATTTCCCTGTAGCCCAGGAACATGTCAAGGTTGATGGTATATGCTAATTAGCTGACATGTCGGTGTGTGCGGAGAAATCTTGCACGGAATAATAATAATAAGAAAAAGGCGAAAACTATAGAATGCCGTTTCTTCGAAACCGGCATTCTAATAATAAAGAAAACTGGCAAAAGCAATAGACTCCAGATTTTCATCTGGAGTCTAAATATCTTCTTAAACTCACTTCATTCTACATCTGATTAGATTTTGGCCATGTTGGCTCAGTCATGGCAGCCATTTTGAATGTCTTAAGAAAAGTCAGTGAGAGATAATACTTTGTACCATATTATTATGGTGTTTTTGAGTTTTCATTATTTAGTAGCGTTATAAATAAGTCCACATGTACTGAATTGTAAAAGCCCATGTCACTGTTAACAGTAGTTGTTTGAGCTAATTTTGTAAGAAAAAATCTGCAAAACCTTTTATCTGCTTTTTTATTGTCAGCCATTTTGGGATTTTCTGTGGTAAAATCTTGTCTGTGAAATCTGGTCTGTGAAATCTGTGAACCATTTGACGGATCAATTTCAAAATTTCAGGGATGATTCTTAGTATGCAAATCTTGAACTGATTAGCCATTTCGGATTTTTTATCCTTAAACCTTATATGTAAAATCTTGTCTACATGTTTCCAGGCGAACCTTTTTAGGGATGATTCTTTATATGAACATTTTGATCTGACTAGTTTTGGAGCATTCTATATAAATGTCAAGGTGGCAATTTTGGATATTCATTCCTAAAATCTTGTTTGTAAAGTCTTGTCTACACATTTCCAGGAACTGGTTGATGAAACGATTTCAAATTTTCAGGGATTATTCTTTATATGCGAATCTTTAACTGATTACTTTTCGGGTATTCTCACAGGCTGGTATCGAAAAATGTGTCCGCTGTGACGGAGCGTGCTATTTTGAATAGAAACACTAAGAAACCCACACAATTTATTTTTTACTCATATGTTTCGCTATACCAAAGAAAATTTATTACTCCATGCAATGGGTATATCATTTGCGGGTAATTTTAACTTTTGTTTGAAGTCCAACAACGCTAAGAGTAAAAGCTATTGAAAAACGGGGCCAGGGTATCATACTCCAAAATGTACCATTTGTTTTATATTTCTTTTTAATGGTACAATATAGTGACACAATAATATTTACATATGTTTTCAGCATAACTCTGAAGGTATTAATGATATCTTGATGTATTGGGTATTTTTAATATTTTTTATAAAAAATAATGTTTACATTTTTGTCAGCTGTGACTGAGTAGTTTTAACTGTGAACTACGTTAAGAATTTAGGATTCAAATTATATCTTTTAAAAGTACCCTTAGAAGAGAGAACGTCACAAATCACTTTCCTAAATAATGACAAGCAGCCTCTTGTAGATATGGGGTAATGTAAATCTGAGATATAAAAACGACCACTCTTAGTATTTTTCGGAGGTTTGTACTGAAATCAACATGATGTAAACTCAACATAATATTTCTAATACGTTTTCGCCTAGATGTCTTGAAATGTCACGTGTAGTGTAAATAGGGCTAATATGAATTTACTTATTCGAAATAGTGCACAGACATCATGCATGCCGACAGATGTATAACCTTTTACCACATAATATTATATTACTGTATATAAGATGATCCCAATACAGATTTAATTTGCAATTATTTGAAATTCATGAAATTCATCGTTTTGCATAGACTAAAATTATAAAAAAAGTCTTTGTAAACGTGCTGCACTGTAAAACCTGTATCAATGAATATCTTTCTCTAGTGAACACCTCTTCTTATCAAATATTCCTCTGACTTCTGTATGAAATTACCTCTATGGAGTGAACATCTATACCAACTGGGAACACATTTTTGGGCTCCATATGTGTTCACTGTACACATATTTTACTGTAGTTGCATCAGATAGCCATAACTCTTAGTCAAATAAAGAACGATCTTAAAATCAAATTTTGCATTTTCGTATTTCAAGATACATTCAACTTACCTTTTGGAACGACTAAAGAGGGTAGAACAATCCACAGTCCATACCATTATATGTATTTAGCTTCATCTTCAGCAAATCATTTTACTTCAAATAATTAAGTTACCGTAAAAAATGACCATGTCAGGCCGATGGATCCACAGAGGGCACTACGAAAGGAAAATACCCTTTACTGAAATGGAAGTTGACTATCATTTTCATGAGTTACCATGCATAAGTTGGATTGCAGTACAAACTGAGAAAAGAAGCTTAAAGAGTGGTCGTATATACATCTCAGAATTTGAATTGTGTACTTTTATTACGTTTCATTTTTCAGAATACTTTACGAAAGAGATTTGACACGCTCGCTGCTCTAAAGTTTAGTTGTAAAGAAATATATTATGAATCTAAATTCTTAACCCATTTCAGATTTGAAACTGCTCTGTCACAGCGGACAAAAAAATTAATTATTATTTTTTATCAAAAAAATTAAAAATACCCAATACATAAAGATATCATTATGCTGAAAACATATGTAAATATAATCGTGTCGCTATATTGTACCATTAAAAAGAAATAAAAGAAATGGTACATTTTGGAGTATGATACTCCGACGCCATTTTCAATAGCTTTTACTCATAACGTTGTTGGACTTCAAACATAATTTAAAGTTACCCGCAAATGATATATCCATTGCATGGAGTCAGTAATTTTCTTTGATATCGCAAAACATATGAGTAAAAAAATAAATTGTGTGGATTTCCTAGTGATTCTATGCAAAATAGCACGCTCCGTCACAGCGGACAAATTTTTCGATACCAGCCTGTGATTCTGGGTAAATGTTAAGGCGGCCATTTTGGATCACCGTCCTAAAATCCTAAATATGTAAAGTCTTAAATTGTCTACGCATTTCCAGACAAACTGTTTTACTGATTGATTTCAAATTTTCAGGGATGATTTATTGGATGCAAATCTAGACTTGATTAGTTTTTGAGCATTCTTGGTAAATATAAAGGTGGCTGTTTTGAATTTTCCATCCTAGAATCTTGTCAATAAAGTCTTGTCTACACATTTCCAGGTGAATCATTTGATGGATTGATTTCAAAATTTCAGGGATGATTCTTAGTATGAAGATCTTGAACTGGTTAGCTTTTGGGTATCCTGGGTTTGTCCTAAAACTTTGCCTTCAACTGACTAGTGTTCAGGATAAAAAAATCTATTGGGATCACCCATTGGTATGGACATGTTGTACACATTTGTGTTCTTGTAATGTAAAATAGTATTTTTATTACATACAAGTACAATACTTATTCAGTAGTGTCTAGTTGATGTAGAAAGTTTCAATGTCCACTTTATCATCCATTGTGTCATATTCATCACAGTAGTCATCACCACATGGGGGACATGCATAATATGGACTGAAATCAATTATGATTAACACGTGAGAGTTGGTGTCATTATTTTCTCATAATTGTTACTATCATATCATTCAGAAGTTTGCCTTGTTGATAGAGTTTTCATTTAAGGATGCAGTACCAGGTCAGCGTAGAAAAAGTTCCAGACATTAGATTTTGCTCATATTATTTACAATGTATCACTATGATGTTATCATCATCCAAGTGCAATATGAAGAGGATTGACCGTCTGGTAATTACAAAATAAAAAAATTATTTTACCCACCCGAAATGAATCTTTTTACTTTTTTGAGTTTTCAATAGAGCTGGCACCTTTCGAACCCTGGTTTTCGTATCCACTAATTGCGACTCAAGAACAAGTTTTCCCATAAAAGTGAAAGGGATAAAATATGCTTGATAAAATGTTTGCAATTTATTCTTTTCTGGAAACACCATTATCGAAATAAACTATAATTTTTGAATAATGCTAAATGCGAAAATGACGTTCTTGGGAGCTAGCTGTCTCAAACCGGAAGTCAAACCTGCGCAAACAGACGTGAAAACCGACCCGGTACTGCATCCTTAATAGTCACAGAAATGAAATAATAGTCAATTATAGTAACCATGGAAAGTTATCAAGATTAATGATTTGAGAGAATAATTGCCTTAATATCATTGCAACTTACTCTTCACATCTCATAGACCTGATATCTACAACATCATCTGTGTCACATGTGACACGTGTTGTCTGTCCTCCCCTGCACTCCAGGAAGGCTGTGCAGCCAATGTAACATCTGTAGTGGTCAGGCTGGTTAGAGCAGTCGTCACAGGGGGTCCCACTGTCTTGAGCATTCGTGCAAGTTGGAACTGCACAGATCAATATATATATCAAAGCACAAGCACCAAAGAAGAGACTCAAAACCTTAAAGAAATCCAGCAATAAAAGCAAACTTTAAGTTTAAACCTCTCATGAGAAAAATAGACCCTTCATATCCCAAAACCAAACAAGAGTCTATGTCATAATCCAGGAGCAGAACACTAAGGGACATTTCATTTATTCTGAAGTCATAACAATACATGTTGAAGAAAATATTGAAAAAATTGATCTCTAATACTCATACATCAAAAATAGTTGTACTATATACATATACATGTACTAGTACAGTACTCATAAAAGATAGAGCATTCAGTCTCAAATGATGTTGGATAGATCAAATCCAATCTCAAGATATTATTCTAATGCAGGGCCAGAATGATATAGTGTAATGTTGTTATACCTGAGGTGCTGTTTTGATGCAATATTATGTTGTAGTGCAGTATAACACAGGAGTTGTCTTGTGGTGCAATTTAAGAATACTTGAGATCTTGAAGTGATGCTGTTAGATGCTGTAGTGGTGCAATGTTATTCTATAATGTTGTAATGGTGCAGTGTTATACTTGAAATGCTGTAGTGATGCAATACTATACCAAAGATGTTGCGGTGCAGTGTAAGACATGATATGTTGTTGGAGCACAGTGTTATACCTGTTGTTTTGTAGTGCTGCGGTGTAATGTTTGATATGTTGTACTTGTGCACTATAGTGCATGGTGTGTTGTTGATGTGTAATCATATACCAAATATTGTTGTGGTGCAGTTTTGTACTTAACATGATCTTGTGTTACAATTTTATACCAAATACCTGAGATGTTGTTGTGGTGCAATGTTATGATATTTTAGATGTTGATGTGGTCACTGGTGCATTGTAATGTATGTCAACTTTATAGCCATATAATACAAAAATTCCCTTTAACACAAAAACAAATTTTGCAAATTATCAAATATCATCATGAGCTAAAGTTAAGATAAGATACGTCTTGTACAGTCGGAAACTTTGTGAAGAGCCATTATATTTAACAAATGATAAAGTTCAAGTCACCTGTTAAAATGCAAAGCACAAGCAGCATGCAAGTATATAGTCGCACCATTTTGATAAACTAACAGGTGCTGTTTATAGTTTATAAGTTATTTTGGTTCCACGTTATCTCAACTTATCATAGTTAAAATTATATTGCAGTTTGGGAACAGTCATGTGTTTTTTGTTATATTTTTATGTTATCAATGAGATTTGAACTTCAGATTTACAGCAATTTATTATCCCCACTAAAAGATATAGACATAGATAATGTCTGTTCATTATCCCACCGAACGAAGTTCGAGGGGGATATAGAGAAGCCGTCCGTCCGTCTGTCCGTCCATCCGTGTGTCCAAACGATAACTCCAATACCGGTTGACGGATTTGGTTTAAATTTTATAGGCTTATGCCTTATGAGTGTAGGACCTCTGCTCGAGAAGGAATTTTCAATATGGCTGCTCAATTTAAAATGGCCGCCATTTTTCGTAAAAAATGTAATCGTTGATAACTCAAATACAAGTTGACGGATTTGGTTCAAATTTTATATGCTGATGCCTAGGGACAAAGGAGTTTAGCACAAAAAGAAATATTCAAGATGGCCGCTCAATTTCAAAATGGCGGCCATTTTTCGTAAAAATATGTAATCTTTGATAACTCAAATACCAGTGAATGGATTTGGTTCAAATTTTATATGATAATGCTTAGGGACACAGTAGGTATGTTCGACAAAATATTTTCAAGATGGCCGCTTAAAAATGGCGGCAATTTTTCATAAAAAACGTAATCTTTGATAACTCAAATACCAGTAAACAGATTTGGTTGAAATTTTATATGATTATGCCTAGGGACACAGTAGCTCTGTTCAAGAAATAATTTACAAGATGGCCGCTGAATTTTAAGATGGCGGCCAATTTTCGTAAAAAACGTAATCTTTGATAACTCATTTACCAGTCAACGGATTTGGTTCAAATTTTATATGATGATGCCTAGTTCACAATGGTATAAACTAACTTTGTGCCAAATTTCATGCTTCTATCACAAAGTGCACAAACATTTCAACATTTACACTAGTTATAATAAGCATAATATGTTTTGTTCGGTGGGATTTGCTACTCCGTGGAGTTGCTGTTTTTCTAGTTCATTTTGTTATCTTGTTATTGTTACTTGAAATGTAAATTACATGCAAAAGTTACAGTATGAGGATAGTTTGGAAACAAATTACATGTTAAACAAGTTTGCCTCGTGGGATGGAGGGTTATTCAATATTTAAGTCTTTCCAATGGAGCCTTTTTGGGCTCTGCCTTGTAAATCATTGAAAATGGTATTGTAGTATTCTGATGGTAAGTAGAAAAATTCATGCTTTGTCCTTGAATGAACTATTGGCCTGCTTTTTTCACAATTAATCCCACTAATATTTTCTAGCTTTGTGTAGATCACTTAATTAATTGTAGGCCCCCGTTGAAGTTTAATCCAGGTTATTGTCATTTAGTTCAAAAAGTGTAGTTCAATACATCTGATGTGCATAGATATAATTTTGATGGTTGAAAAAATAAGTTAAGACCTGGTGTTTTGCGTATATTAAAAACAGTTTCTAATATGGGAAATTAGAATTTTTATGTCACCATCACAAGTGGTGGCATATTATAGTCTCCAACTATTTTGTGGGTGTTGTTTGGCATTCAAAGCTAGGCATCTGTAACAAATGGCAGGTAGTGACATTTAGCATGTAAATGCCTTGTTCTCTTTGGGGTGATATTACGAATCTTACAAATCGAAATGTAAAATCCCTTTTTCATATCAGAGTCATGTTTATTAACTCTTGTTTACACGAAATATATTTAAAGAAGTGGTAAATTCTCTTTTGATTTCACAGTTATAGGAAAGGAAAAAATACTAATAACAAATATTTTATTTGATTATGATTGGCCTTTGGGGAAATTGATTTATTTAACCTTATAATGATCCATCTTTGAATAAAACTTTCAATTGTATAACTGCAAGCATCACATTGTACTAAGTATGACCATTAATTTGAATTTTTGACCTACCAGATGTTTGAAAATCAAGGATTGTGAGTCTCATACTGCACTGTTTTTCTTCAAACTTGTTCCGTTCAAAGCAAAACAAAATTGCCTTTCTGTCCCTCGATTTAGCAGCGTTTTGGTCCCCAGCTGTGAGAAGCCCTTCTCACAGCTGGGGACCAAAATGCCGCTGAAAGTAAGGACTCTGTATAACAGAATAATGTACCAACAGAAAGGTATTTTTGTTATGCTTTCAACGGAACAAGTTTGAAGAAACATCTGGTAGGTCAAAAATTCAAATTAATGATTGAAGTTAGTACCGCTTGAAAAAATGTAAAAATGTGATTCCAGAGATGAAAGATTATCTTAAAAATGAGACAGAGGCTGACAAACAATTTTGCCTGACAGACAATGAAGGGGAGGATGATGTCCTTACTGACTGAAGCTTCCAATGGAAAAGTATTGGATGAAGAATTGAATATGGAGTTCTAAAAAAACATTTGTGATTATGCATTGGCTGAATTGGAAAAAATAGACTAAACTTAAATTGCCTCTCGAAGAATTCAAATTTTATTTTCTGAAAAAAAGAGAAATTAGATAGAAGGTATTGAAGATTTAAAGGTCCCATAGCACCTCTAATTTAATGTTAAAAACTTATAAGACTAGATTCTTTTTTATCTTATGAGGTTTTTGACATGTTGGCTCACTCATGGCGACCATTCTGAATGATTATTGCTTGCTGACTTCATAATACAAACACTGAATGTTGGTGACAAAAAAGTGCACCTTTCATATAGTACTATGATCTGATATTTTGTTATTACACTGTAACATGTGAAACTGATATATAAGGGTTATGTACTGGGAAGTTTTGGATATGGGGTTTATCCAGAGGGAGATATGCATATCTACCTGAGGGACCATAGGGACCGAAGGTAGATGTGTATATCTCACGAGGGATGAACCCAATATCCAAACCGACCGTACATAACTGCTTTATCCTATACCAAGTAGAGTTTTCTAATTTTCTTTCAATTTTTTCACATTTTTCTAATTTTTTCTTTTTTTCAAACTTTTTTTTCTAAGCGGGAAGATATGCCCCGGAGAAGGAGACTTATCTCCCTAAAACTCTTCTTGGCATTGGATAAAAACTAGTTATTGTGTAGTTGTACACTTGACTTAATGTCATTTGAGTCAGTAAAAGAAATATATTTACTGATGAACAAAACCAAAGATTATATTTATGTTTTTTTTTATTTTATGAGTATATTTTTCATGATTTGATGAAAACAACAACTTGTTTCATGATACTATCATATGATCTATAAATTACACATCATCATAAAAATACAATTTTCACGAACGCATGATTTGGTTGTCCAGCTATGTCAAACACTATGCGCCATCTTTTGGCTATGAACTTATATTCCATCCAGCGTTACAATATCAATTTGGCTATTTATATTGTATCACAATTCCTGAATTAATCTTACCAGGTTTTATACAACATAAGAGAAGTGTCTGTCATGTGAGTTTTCTTGCTTAACCCACTTCCATTTGCCATGTTACATTTTCTATAACAACCATTATGATATTCTAACTTGGGACATTCTTATTACTATAAAAAAGTCACCTGGAGGTCCTTAACAGAAATGTTTGTGAAGTTAAGAATTCCCAACTCCATTGTTCTCTTACTATGATATTATATACAACAATTGGTTTAGTAATTCTTAACTTTACAACGATTATGTTAATGACACCCTGGTTTAAACTTAATTGACACTGAGGAAAATTTGAAATTAAAATACAGGATATCATGTTGTCATTAAAAACTTTACCAGGCACAAATGAATGAACTTTGTGAATTATCTGGTGAGACCGAGACCTCAATTTTCCAGAATTTCCAAATCCAGGTTATTGAGATCTCTGACATTATAAATGTTGAATCAAATTATCCTTGATAACTGAGAAACCCAACAATGTCCAACCTTGAAATATTCTGCAGCGGATGAACTTTTATTGAAGATGGAGTATGCATAAATGGACAAAATTAAGCCAAATGAGTTATAAAATGCACAGTATATAAAATTAATTATAAATAAGCACACAACTCAAATAAACCCTTTGGCACCGTTGAACATAAAATGATCAACATCAGATAAAAAAGATGATAAAAATGATAAATCACAAAAATGAAGAAATGCTTATATGTATGCAATACAAACTTACTAATTAAATTTAGATTTGAAAATCACGACCATTAAAAACTCTCAGCCAAGATATGTTTCTCTGGGACTGGGAACAGTTGCGTGCCAGAAAGAATTATGAATTCAAAATTTGAAACTCAAAATATGTAGTCACAGACATACATGCTAAATTAAACAATTTATCATGCCTTTAGCTGAGAATAATGTGAAAAAACTGTGAAAATAATTTTTTGTTTCAAAAATTACTTTTAATAAACATTTAATTCAAATCTGAACCAACTGACACTTAAAAGCACATGAGTATTAATATTGCATAGGCATGATTCTTAATACAAATCATAATAAATTAAAATAATAATTACGGTACATGCTTTATCAAATTAAATGCACATTAACTTTTGTCAGAAAATCATCACTGATATGTTTTGGGAAGAAGACACAAACTTTCTGTTCCAAATACACATATCGTTTGAAAAAACAAGTACAACAAATTACTTTGATATTCAGCAATAAAACACCACTTCTGTCAGACTGTTTAATGTTTGAAATGTCAGTATATAATTTAATAAACAAAGCACAGTAGTAGTTCGTTTCATATTTCCAATGAAAATAACAATTGACAAAATATCAAAGTATTTTGTGAACAGAAATGTGCATTAGACATCTTTGTATATGAATTTTAAGAACTAATATACATGTATTATAAAATACCTATACATGTATAAATGGTACAGATATATATGAACATATTAAGGTGTATAGCTCTATACAAATGATAAAACCTTCAACTCATTGACCAACTTTAAAATATGATATACATGTACATAGAACTTTTTAACATCAACAATTCCAAAACTTTACAGATTTCAAAATGACCGATATGATATTTTTATGTTTTACATATACTATACAGTAAAACCTGTACATTTTTATAATGCGAACACTGATTTAACAGAAACACCTGCATATAAGAACACCTGCATAATGCGAACATCTGCATAAGCCTCAGTCACATTTGCTCTACAGTGACATAGGAAATCTACATCGTACTGCTTATCCCTATATTTTATATGTTTCTCTCCATTTTGGAAAGTACAACACGGCCGCCGTACAGTTGCCATAGATAAAATGTGACGGAGGCATGACTGTGAACAATGACCATGAACTTCATTACATTATTATCGAATATATGAATAACAAATGTTAACAATACGGTTTGCCTTATACAGGTTTTACTGTAACATCCATTCCATACAACTAACTACTATTTTCATAATATACAGTTTTTACAAAACCTCATATAGCACAAAGTACTGTATGTATAATTTAATAAGATCAGGGTGTGCAATTCAAAACTTGTTAAAAGTTATCTTGGCACAATATAGAGTTGTACAATGTTCTTGAATTACACATCCCGATTTTAATGATTTTTCTTTTTTTTACAATGATATGTACAGATAAATTAAGGGGACACACCACACTCACAGGGTTACAGCTTTATAAATACAGTACATAAGTTTTATGTACAAATCAGGGATCATATAATATTGCAACTTTATAATATTAAAAAAAATTCAGCCTCAAAGTTACAAATGCTTCCATTGCTATTGCATGAGAAAATGTACTTCAAATGTCATTTTCTTTGCAAAAACCAAACATACAACGGCAGTAATTTGTCTGAACTTTTCAAGGACGAAAGCTTGTATTATAGAACTTAGATGTTTATGAACTTCTTTTAAACGATGACAATACTGCATGTGTTCATACTTCATTACTTCAAAGCTAATTTAATAGTATCTAACGTGTGTCCACTTAACTGTATGACACAATTTACACTTCACAGTTATATGTGTTACACCAACCAACCACTTCCCAACACATTTACATTTCACAACTGCATTTCATACTTAACTACATGTACTGTATGTGTTACACATAAAACTGCATTTTCCTTCACTGCTGTGTGTTACACTTAACAACTTCATTTTCACTTCACTGCTGTCATAGTTGTATGTGTTACACTTAACAATTGCGTTTTAAACTTCACTGCTGTTACACTTAACAACATCATTTTTTGACACTACAGCTGAATTTCCCACTGATTCATACATAATTCTCAGCTGCATATTGTGTAATTCATGAATTTTATGAATCTCAATACAATGTATCTCACTTCTCAAGCTGCACTGTTTATGATTTGTGATCTTTCTCATAAAGTAGAGATTCCTCATAAAGTTTTTCTTGATTCATTTTTCAATCCATATTTGTCAACCTTAAGTGTCTTGTCCATGTATGTGTCAATAAGCACTTTGTATGAGCATAAAAGCTTGGCTTTGGAATATGATATGCAAATTAATAATACAAGTATTCCCTCTAAATACAGGAAGATTCATTCACAAGTGCTGTCACCCCTAGGATATAATTTAGACTCAATCATGATGACTTAATTGAGCCCAGTCTAACTGTCTGAGGGGTGTGAGCAAGGACTTTTTGGTCAAATATTTCCCAATATAGGGCTAGCAAACAGGCACCTTACAAAGGCTCATTTTTTCATCCTTCGGATCAAATCCCATATTTTTCCGTTGTAAAAACATGTGGATTTCTCGGAAAGGGGGTCTCCCAGCTTCAGTCCTATTCCAACATTCACACATTAAGTCATAAATCTCTTTTGGACACATATCTGGTTTTGGGAGATAATTCTCCTTTCCATCATTTCGGTAAAAGTGTCCACAGTTTTCAATAACTTGTTCATCAGTGAGGCCCTCATAAGGATGTTCCTTGGCCATTGTAAGAACTTCCCATAAAGTAACACCAAAGCTCCACACATCTGATTTGGATGTGAATTTTCCCTGAAAATATGAGAAACATTGAGATTTGAGAATAATAGTAATAAAATACTTAATCAGGAAATATATGCAAAATACATGCAATACAGATAATTAATTAGGGTTTTTGGGTAAAACTCTTCAATGGTTAAATGTCAAACATGGCATAATTCTTGCCACCTGATTTGTACACTTCAAAATAATGTGAATATTAATAACATACATCAAGTTGTGGAAATTAAAAATAGATCAACAGGACTCACTAGTAAAATGCTCTCCCAAGCCATCCACCGAATTGGAAGGACTGCCCTGCCCTCTATCCGGTAATAATCAGAACTATATAGACTACGACTCATGCCGAAATCAGAGATTTTTATTGTGTAATGGCTCCCCACGAGGCAGTTTCTGGTAGCAAGGTCACGGTGAACCATATTTAGTGACTCCAAATATTTCATCCCTGATGCTATCTGCGTCGCCATGTAGATCAGAGAGCCATAACTGGAATAACAAAAAGTGAACAATTCATGAATCATAGAAACAAAATAAATGCATGAACAACTGTTATTGAATCAGTTCTTTCAGAAAATGAATAGAAAACAACTTATTTTCATATTTTATTGGAACATATGTAGTTTAATATCTGGAAAGTACACTGAATCATGTGGGTCAGATTATCTAGATGTGAGCACATTGAACTCATCTCAAGCTAGATTAAGACAGGGTTTACTAGTATTGGTAGGGCCAGGAAATTCAGAGAATATATCGATGATGTAACATACCTCATGATATTAGCACCAGTGTGTCGTGTGAGCGTGTTATCTGGGACGTGGTTCACTAAGTACTGATGCAGGTCACCATACTTCATGTACTCCACGATCATACACAGAGGCTCTTGTTTAGTACACACTCCCAGAACAGGGACAACATTAGGGTCCTTAAGCTTGGACATGATACGAATCTCTTTGTTAAAGTCAATTCTGGAAAAAGAAGGTGTGATAATATTAAAGGATGTAATTTTTGGACAGTCATTTATAACTTAGTTGATACTGTATTAAATCAACAAACAAAGACCCAAACAAAGAATTGAAATTGAAATTTTCAATTTCCCAGAATACAACCAATACTCTCTAAAACTATTTCGTCACATAAGGATAATTTACACTTGCTTTTATATTCTGAACTTACCTGGCTTGGTCAGTGGCATCAGGGCGTAAGATTTTGACAGCTACCAGAAATGATCGTGCTGGTCTCCCAGGGATAAGCTCCTCTCCCGTCAATAGCTCTCCCATACCATACGCTTCACACAGATGGACCTAGAATAGAGCAACAGTTGGCTTTAGAACATGATTTTTAACAATGGGGTGAACATGGTTTTTAACAATGGGGTGAACATGGTTTTCAACAATGAGGTGAACATGATTTTCAACAATAGGGTGAACATGGTTTTTAACAACGGGGTGAACATGGTTTTTAATAATGAGGAGAAAGCTATGCACATTGGAACATGGCCTTTAATAATGAGATGCAGGGTTTAGACATTGGAACACGGTCTTTAATCACACTGTTGGAGATAATTCATTGGTTTCTGTATGCTTGCATATTCAAATTTTCTTTTGGTTTCTACTAAGTTATTCATCATATCATGGGAATTATCTGTGAACAAACTGTGTACTTACTTCACCAAACTGTCCTTCTCCCAATTTTTCCCGAAACTTCATATTATCATGGGGGAATTCTACAATATTGAGTTCGCCTTCTGAAAGTCTCGACAACAAATCTGGGTTTGGTGCTGCGTAAATGCTGTTCCCAGTTACTCCCTGTATGTTGGGAATGTTGATTACATCTTCACTCGCATAGAACTCATGATCTTGAAAATGTCCAGGCTCATGGGTGTGATATGGCGGAGCGTTGGGGTATGGTGGGGGCTCCATAAAGCCTGGGTTGTAAGAGGGAGGGGGATTGACTGGGAGAATAGGCTGTTGAGGTGGAAGGCTAACGACTAAGGCGCTTTTTGTGACATCAGGAACAGCATATTCACGTGATGTAAGTGTATCTGAAATTGAAAATAAATACATAAGTCATCTGTATAAAATACACAATTGTTAGTGTTAATTTTCTCACAAAAATATCTTTTGAACTTAAGATTCACATGATTTTAGTAATGGTTATGAGCCCCTATTAACTACATCAAAGCTGAGGTTTTATATTTCTACAGGCCTATATTTTCTGACAAATCCTTCACCAGCCTCACGCAGCAAAATCTATTTTTCAATCCTCAAACATATTTCTAAGAACAAAACATATTAGTAGCAATGTTTCCAAGCATTAAACATGCCCCATTGCCCAACGATAGAATAGAATGTGAAATGACAAAAGTAATTAATGTGATGTTGAAAATGAGGCTGATGCAAGTGCGAATGAACTTGCTGCAATTAATGTTAGTGAACTTGTTGAGATATGAAGAAAACCAATAGTCTTGTATCAGATATTTGTATCACCCCTCTCATTTCATCCCCACATAACAATAGGTTGAATGATTAAACAGGAGGGGGAATTCCTCTGTTACAAGACTATATAAATCAAAGCAAAAGCACACATCTAGTTACCCGAGAAATAGTTTAAAATACCGCTTGAGTCTGGAGTTGGAACTTCTGGGAGCTTCCTCGCTTGGATTCCATTATTCGTAGCATTTGTTTCGTTGTACATGAGATCGTTATTACACTTATCCGTGTCCTTATCTGAATCTATATCATCAGAAGTTGCGATACATTTGTAAGTGTTCCCGTTCGACAACTTCCCGTTGATCAACGGCATTGGGTGCATGTCTCTCAATGATTCTAAAGTCACTTGATCTGGAGCCTTCGATAATTTCTGTTTTTTACGTCGCATGCGACAACAGAAAATAATAATTCCAATAAGGATGAATATAAGTGCACATAATGCTCCGATAATTATTCCGATGTACTGATCGTCAAGTGGTTTCGAGGGTTTTTGGCCAACTCCTTTATCATCTTTGCCACCAAAATCTCCAGGTGATCCTGGAAAAATAAATTTTTTGTTACAAACTTTATTTCACTTTCTTATATTGTGCAACAAATAGGGGACTATCAGAATTACAGGGTTTTGAAATTGAACAATTATAGTACTGTAAACATGGAATTAACCAAGAATTTAGTAATAAACAGCTCTCATTAGCATTGTCTTCTAGAGAACCATGTTAACTTGGATCTAACTTGAATCATCAATCTATAAATATAAGATGAATATTTCCCATATAAGATATTCCCATATTGATATGATATCAACATCAAACTAATAATAATAAAAAGTCACTCACCTCCATTAGTTTTATTGTTCCGACTACTTCCCTCATTTTTCCCTCCAGCAGGACCACCAGGTTTGGAGACTCCAGGGTTGTTACCTGTCTCATAGGAGTCACCTACTGGTACAGTGGGGGCAGGAGTGGAAAGTGTTGTTGTGGCAATGGTTGTAGGGGGAGCCACCTCTGTTGTAATATTGTTCCCTACTGCTGGGGCTGTAATCATAATCAAAATGAAAATATAATAAAATCTGTTTCTTCAAAGCCTGATATTCTCTGTATATATGAATGTATGTCGATGTATAGACAAGGCATTAACATGCAAAATGTCACCACCTGCCATTTGTTACAGACCCTGAATGCTGAACACCAACCATTGAACACACTCCACAAAAAAGTTGGAGACTATACAAAGCGTGTCAATATATTTTCAAGTGAGCAGTTATAACTCCTATAGACGTGGTGCCATCTTTTAATGGATAATTAAGACAATATTACAAATTAAGATTTTCAAAATTCAAAATCAAATTCAACTAAACATATCTTATTTGTAAAGAGAACATACTTGATTTGAACTGGATTTCACTGATCATCATCCATCGAGCCTCAAACGTCAACTCCAGCTGTATAAATTTCCCGATTCTATGTTTAATAGGGATGATAACAGTTCTCGCATACTCCATTAGTTCGTCCTTCATAAATGTAAACTTAGCTGGTTCAGGTTGGAAATACTCCCCACCAACACTGAAGTAAATCATCGCAGTCCGAAAAACTCTCACATCCTTGCTAAACATATTATTGCAATGGAGTCGAATTTCAGTGAAGTTTCGGACAGTGTCGAAAGTAAACTTGATTGTAATTGGCTTCATGGTTGTGGAGTCGTTACGCCAGCCTATCCAACCATAACCTTTACGTCCCAAAGAATGGCGATCAAGTCTAAAATTTGACTCTCCCTCGTCACCATCTGTTAACTGGCCGAGACCTCCACTGAGATAGTTGTCTTTGATTAGTCCATCATATGTGAAGTCTAATAAATCAACCTCAGACCCACGTCGTTGACCTTGGGGCATATCATATGAAACAACGCCATCTGTAATCATAAGAAAAAAAGTTAATAAATGCAACTGATTCATCAATCACTTGATTGTTCAAGTTTTCAAGGATAAATACTTGGTATGAACAAAAACATGTGCATTGATATTAGAAGAAATTACACTTCACATATTTAATGGAGAATGGTATAAAACTATATTTTGCCTGCCTTCTAAATATTTGCACTGGTATCAATTCGATAAATCAAGAGCAAAGTGTAAATTGTAATTATAGTGAAAATTATGAAAAAAGCATTATCTGACACTTCTCCACATTAGACTTTTAACACCTGATTGGAAAAATTCTTACGAGAACACTAATGAAAGACACTAATTAAAGACTGAGCATCATAGATCCACTTCTTTCTCTTACCTGTCCAGGCGCAACCATACAGCTCAACTCTCATGCAAATTGTGCGTTGATGGAGACTGTATGGGACGATGCGGATTCTTCTTGCAATAATTGGTGGTTTAACATCATTCATCTCAGCAATATAAGTGTTTGTATTGCCATTAAATACCTGAAGAAAAACAATATGTCATTAATACTTTTATGGGATTATGGGGCTACTGGGGGGGGGGTGAACAAGCTTCTCATCCCTGAAATTGTCTATACCCACATGTGTGTTATGTTTAAGCTGGGCATTATATAAGAGCTTCATATATAACTAGGTTGAGCCATGTTCTAAATATGTATGTGTGTGTCATAGGCATTATATTCTCTCACTCAACCCTGTCCTTTTTAAAGCTGCTTAGAATTAAGATTCAGAAGAACTGCAAAAGAATGTTTTCAGAATGAATATCCATTTATCATTCTTTATCTAGCCAGCAAAGCCATCACAGCTACAGGTTAAGAGAAAAATCCTTTTTCAAGTCTTGGGTTAAGTCGAGGATGTAAAAACATATCACAATATTGGAAGATAAGCCAGGGAGTCAAAAAAGTAATTTCTGTAAAAAATATTTGTTTTATTGCCTAATGTCATGAGCTGATTGAGAGTTAACTAGAGTCCTGTAAACATAATCTCAGTGTATGCATCATTTACAGGAGATTCAGGAGACGAGGAAGAAATAAATGAAACACAGAACGAACTGAGCTATTAAAGAAATTCATACATAGTACTACATAAAAACTAATGAGATTAATCAAGCCAATTAATTTCAATTTTAAGCCAAAACAAGCACAACATAACAGACTTGGGAAGAAAATGAAGATGGTGAATTAATAAAATATGATAAAATCGTTGTGAAAGATTTAGCCGAAAAGCTGGCTATTTGTCTTGCTTAGTGCCTCTAAGAATTAGTCATCAATTTATCAAGTGGTTGAGAATCATGGGATACGTCAATGCCTAGCAGAGATAAGTCCCTCTATATTTGAGTATCTTAGAGCAACCAACCTTAAACTATAGGCTCAAACTTATTTATTCATTCCTTGTATCATCAACAAATGTCCCTCGTGATGGTAACAAACAGTCTTACAAATCAAACAATTTAATTCTAACCATGTGTGTTTCTTAATTCAATATTTTCTGAATAGTTTCAATAAAATATTTGATTATATTATACTGCTATGTTTCAAATTTGCAGATAGATACTTTCATGAAAATATAGAACAATATTCAATTTCATTGAAGAATATCTTCATATAAAACACAAATAAGCAAATAGAATTCAGAAAATACTGAAACACGAAAGCACGACCTGTCTGAAGTGAAATTCCATTTAATTGTTAACCTGGAGAGAATTAAAGAAATGAAGGAAGAAATACCATCTTTGCATACAAAGTAAAGACATATCTCTTGAGATTAAATCATCCCTTATACAGTTATATAGAAAGAGAAATGGATTTGAAAATTTATAAATCAAACCCAATAAATAAATATTTGCCTTATTCTGACAAACTCAATCATCTAACATCTGAAAATAAAAATAAATTTTGAGAAACGTCCTTTCAAATATCACAAAACATTGACGTGTTCTTGATTTTTACAATAGGGTACATCTTTAACACTCTAATCATGTCCAAGAAATAGTTTTTCATGGAAATGGATATCTGGCTAGATTAAAGCAGAGAAAGACAAATAACAAAGGTGACCTATCGTTAATGAGTTCTATCAAGGAAGGTTTAATCCCACAATTCCCTACTTGATCACATGATCATGAGGAACCAATCAGGGTGTCATCAAGTATCAGGGATCAATATACTGGAAAGCTACACTTGTAGGAATCTTGATATAAATTCTTGAGGTGAAATGAAACAGACTTAATAATCCGAACTGTTGATTCATTTCTTAATCTGTCTGGAAAATGCTTTCTAAAAGCAATCAAAATGCACTTGATAGATAGTGACAATTGCCGCATCTAAATCGAATTCTGCTTCTATTTATCATCTTCATTCCTCTGAATTGATACTGTACTGACACTGTACGTGTGACAAAATTTCAAATTCACAGAGGTAAAGCGTGAAATCATCTTACTTACAATAAGAATAATATATTTTCAAACAAAAATTACTAAATCGAATAAGATATCCAAAAAACGGAACTTTCATATTCTGGGACCCTAGAAACTAAATGGGATCACTTATCAAACAGGGTAAGGAGTCAAAACTGGTGCTGCCAACCTCAATTGTATGATTGGGGTGGTAAATGATGACCAGTGCGCAAGACAGTGAAGGGCTCTAATCCTAGCGAGATGCAAGTATTAGAGAGCTACAAGTGTCATGGTAATAATTGATTCATCAGCAACCCATCCCATAATATCCATCTAGCCATTCCTACGGGTTTCAATGTTCTCTCTGTGATAATGTGCCTGGTTCAAGGGCCCTTCTACACAATATTTGGAATGTTGTAGGTGGATATTCTCATTTTATTTGCCTGTAGATACAATCTTTGTTCATAATGTTGCATGTCATCATCGCAGATATTTCTTTGAAGGGGAAAACAGTATTGCACCAGTCCAAAATTGAATTTTCTGCCTATCCATTTGGTAAATTACACTAAAATTACACCATTGATCTGCTCACCATATTTCCAATCTGTGCTCGCTTTAATGTCATTTTTACGCAAATCAACTCCGAGCATAAAACCTTTATCATTTTTCAAAGAATGTTGATTTTGGGACGTTCATTTCAAACTATGTTGTATTTGAAAGAAAAGCTTGATTGTCACAATTTGCTATACCATTTTTCAGTATTATTGAAAATTCATTTTATCGATTGTTTCCCTTGTGTCAAGTGACCTTTCTTACCTCCTGTGATTGTCTGTTGCGGAATCTTTTAAATGGACCATTGTCTGTTCGTTGGTACTCAAGGACATAGTATTCAGCAAATTCTTGACCCTGCAGATAGAAAGCAAAATATACATATAATTTAATCTTAAATAGATATATTCCACACCTCCTAGACTCCACTCACATGGTCATTACTTCCGACCTCACATCTATGTTCCTTCCACCCGAACCACGTTCTCATGACATGACTAAAGAACTGATATTCACATAGTGAAAATGTAGTTCATTTGGAAGGAATGTGAATAGCGAGGTCGGAACTGATGACCGCATGAGAAGAAGTCTATGAGGACTGGATTCATTAATGTTTTTATATAATTTATTTGGCATACACGGTAGCTTCACTAAGGTACATATACAGGAAATAGATATACGCCTCTAATTAATCTAGATGGAGGAGAAAAGTAGGAGTGAAGGGGGAAAATGAGAACAGATAAGAATTCAAATAAGTACCCGCATTATCTAAGATGGAGGAAAATTCTAAAATATTATCCAAAACATTAGCATGTCAGACATACAATATCTATTCGTAATTAACCCTATTAGTGTCTATCTGAATTGCAAATATAGCATTACTTTGACAATATACCCCGGAGAAACAGACAAACTTAGGGCCAGGAGGAAACTGATCTGAAAAATCATTCCAGTTCCAAATTATTCAAAATGGATGAAGAAGTAACAGATTTATTTGATGTTCTATTGTTTTAGAGAAGACAAATTAGGCTTTTAGGAGTCACAAGTAATGATACTTTATTTTTCTATGGGAATTTAGGAACAACAACTCAAATAATTAAGACACACATAAATCACTAGGAGTTAATTGAAAATGGGCAATTTTGATAATTATCATGTGACTTTTGATCTTAGGAGAGTTATGCAAATTAGATATATCCCCTATGTCCAATAACCTTTGATCTAAGTACCATGTGACCTCTGCGGATTTGACCCCAAAAGTCACCCGATTATCCAGGCTTTAAAAACCCATATGTCATAATTTGAATTCCTAGTATAATACAGGAGATGGAAATTCAATATCTTGTTCTTAACAACTGCTTCATGAAAAACACAAATAAATGCAAAAAAAATATGTGGTAGTCTATAAAAACAAATGTCAAATGCTTATTGGATTGACATACATGGAAATCACATTAAAAGGATATACACATGCATAGATTATTGACAAATGGTTTCTCTCAATGCACTTCAAATATAATAGTGACATAAAAACAGAATCATGAGTTTCCCTTGGTTAATAAATTCTAAGAGGTTTCCTGCTATTATCAGATAATGCTAAGATAAAAATGAGCTTAAAATACATTGCCTAGAATTCCAATTTAGGCTATGCTTTAATTACATTCAACTGATTTTTTAATACCCTTGACTAAAAAATTTAGTTATAATAAAAATTCTATTCATGGTTGATATATTCATTTCTGCTCATATTCAAAATGCCAATCTCATTTTGAATTTCTCGTTAAAATGTTTATAACAACCAAGATTTTGTGCATTTCTAAATTATTTGATGCATTGTAATATCTATTCGATCCTCTTAATTCCCTGCTAATTCATTTTTTCACCTCTTTGCTACAGAAAAAGCAAATTATTCCTGAAAATTAATTGAATGGTTGTTGGACAGTGTGATCTTAAAGTTAAGCCTGCAGCTAAAATATATTCAAAAATTATATATTTTCAAAAACATGAAAAACGGTTGTCATGGCTACCAGAATAAATCAGTACATTACACTGGTCTCCGGGGCAAACATAATTTCCCCAAAGTAGCTCGCATAAAAAGTCTATCAATTGTGCTAGGTTGAAGCATGGTGACACGCACTGCTCTAATGTGTACTAATTAGCAGTGGTCCTATTGGACTGTGATTTCATCCTGTTAGAGCCCATAAGTCCTACTCAAATACTACCATTTCTACGGAATGAACTTATCTCCCAGAAAGCTTGAACACACGCCATAAAGTATGGAGGATGTTGGGCACAAATAAAGTTTGAGGGACACAAGGCTCTTGCCATGAAATAACTTGACAAAGCATTTTATGTAAAATAGATAATTTGGAATTGTTGATTTGGCTGATTGGTAAGATGCAAATTGTAAATCAAACAAACAAATAAACAAACAAATCAACCAACCTGTCCATTGCCAAATCTTCCCTGTGTTTCCACCATAGTGATAACAGTGAGGTTACCGAGATCAATCTGGAGCCACTCATAGACATCTTTTCCAATTGTAGCTAAGGGACACCAAGCGCCACCTTTCTCCTCACTTCGAATTCTGCAAATATACATTAACTTTCATATACAAATAGCCCAATGGAAAAAGTACAAGAATTGTATTATCAATATTATATGTATGGAATATATACAGGTATTATCTAAAGTATGCATTAAATGGTTAGTTTGTGGGAGAAACATGTTCAGTGTAAGTAATGGTAAATTATTATTTAGTTCATATATTTTGGATGGAGCTGAATTGACTATAGATGGTGCTGAATCACTTTCTAAAAGCCCAGAGAGACCATCTATATTATTCCCATTAAGTGCTTCTGAAAAAGACTTGATACAAGACAATGTTCTCGAACCATTACATTTCATAAGAGCACTAAGAAAAGCTGAGTATGACATATATTACATGAGTAAGAAAAGCCTAATGAAATTAGAAATTCCATTAGTTTCAAGTTGGGTCTCTTTCAAAAATGAAATCCAAACACATTTCTAGACTTTTCATGCAAATTAATGAGAAATCCTGAGGAAATTAATGATTGTATATGTAAGTTCATAGCTTAATGTAAAAAGTTTTTTCTTTACTAATAAGACTTAGTGGAAATAGTTTAGATATTTTGCAGGATTTCATGACATGTCATCAGTTGTTAAATTGCTTGTAATTGTTTCCCTTTGTCCAAACGTCCGAATAATCAGACTGAGAAAGTACATGACAGTGACTCAGAGACTACATCTAATATAGGTAAGAAATTCCATGTTTCACCAGCCAAATATATTTACACGACAATCATGTTGATTTCAAGTTTTCTCCCTAAGATCTCAATGAGGGGACTGATATTTTTGAATATCTATATAATTTGAAATGTCAACTTCAGAAGTGCTGACTTTATCTCCTGCTTTTTCACCTCTTTTCACTCCTAATTTCTAATTGGGGAAACCAGAGTGTGATCATTTTTACACGGAAATTGGCTAATTGAATTATGCTTTGAGGTGAACTGTATGTGACATTACCACTTGGGGATGACACTTAAATGCATATTGGTCAATAATAATACCAAAGAAAAATGTGAAAAATTCATTTAGAGAAAGGTTCTTATCTATACTTGTCTTGATTTCATAAGGAGAAAATTTTCTTTTCCTGTAAATTTGTTTGATCATGAAGACTTAATATTGGACAGTCTAAATGTGTTCCTAGGTTCATTTATTTATTAGGAGATGTGATAAGGCACCTAGATACGGGGCTTCTCCTCCAGGAGACAGGGTGAAATGTTTTGATGGAGTTACATTTTAACTTTGAATGGCTCACCAAGCACGCCGCTCAAGAAACACATCCTTAAGTACTAGTATATCACATGATTTAATGTTTCACATTTGATGCAAAGAATTACAGTCATATAAAAGATACTCTGATTCAGATGCAATATTAATAAATTAATATACAGTGTAAAATGCTGCTAGGCGATAATTATGGTGCAAGTTTATCGGAAAAAGGATGAGCGTAAAATGCGGTAAATCACTATAGATTACTCAGTGTTGCTTAATCCCCTTAATTTAGCAATGCTTTATTGTGAATAAAAAGACTATCGGGGAGAAAGTGTAGGATACCTGACCAAAAGATATAGCTCACATCTTGGATTTTCTAGGTTTTGTCTTTCTAGATGTAAATAAAATGTAAGATTGTTTTAGGTTAACTCTCAAAAAATGGGAAACTCATTCCTTCATCTTATATATCCCTCTAGTTCCTCTATTTTGCACATAAGACTGAATCAAAAATACTGTTCTATAAAGTTTCCTGTACGAGATAATGACAGACTCAGGCTGTGCAAGAAGGCTATAAAGTGCTGCCATTCCATCGAATGATGTCAGGTGATTTGACTTTATTGTGATGTCAGGTAATTTGACTTTACTATGATGGCATGTAATTTGAATTAATATCCGGTTAAAATATTTGATTAAATGAATGCAGTGGCCTGATGAATGTGAAATACACATATAGCTAGGCTAGCCAATCAGAACACAGTATATAATATGAATTCTATATTTTTCAGCCTACTGTACAAAATCTTTTAAATTGTATGAACAGAATTAAAGCACATGACCGAATGAATTATGGGTGATTTAATAATGCAATCATTTCTTGTATCCTAGCCCTTTGAGCTCCTGCACTCAGTCAAAGGCTGATACAAGACATATCTGCTTAAAATTATCCATTAACTTCCTGTTCTAAATTCGATGAGAAATCATTTTTAGTTTTGTTTGTACAGTTGTTTCTTACCTCTTGAACATACATGTATACCACACAAAAACCTGAAATTCCATGCTGCATGAGCTGTATGTAATAAAAGATAAGTCAGTCTGAGGAAATCAAATCTATATACCTATAGCAAACACCTCAAACTATATAAAAGATATATTAAACACCTATAAACTACCAGAGAGCTCTCTAAGAAAACTAAAACATAAAGAATTTTTGGATGGGAAAAGATATGTAAAATCTTTCTCTATAACTCGTAACACTAATACTACTAACAGATAGTAGTAATTTTTCTTCCCACTCATGAAAATATGTGCTGAAAATATGCACCCCTGGCATACCTCATTTGTCTGCCATTGATTATACCTATACATTCACATATACATCAAAGAACTTATTATCTGCCATACTCAAAGGAATCAACATTTGTCTAGGTTCATTTGGAAAAAATAACACAACATTATAACAATAAATATTAAGATATAACATAATATTAAGAGAAGAAATATTCAGACATAATTTTCTCGTCGATTTTCAATATGCGAAACGATTTGTATTCTGTAAAAGCAAAATGACAAGAGGATGCAAAATGGAACATATATTATCTTTTATGATAGAACAATATGTAACGATTGACTGATTATTTTTAGTCTTGGTTCAAAGGGAATCTAAAAGGTTGGAATGTAATATAAAGATTTTCTATAAACTTTCTCACCAGGATGCCATTGTTACAAAGTGGATTCCCGGATACATAGTGCTACAAGCACATCTCAACGCTATTATTCTTATAAATCCTCCACATTCCACATATTTTAATTCAGGTAATGAGAAAATTGCAGTCAACATTTGCTTTAAAACTAAATAATTTTGTCAATGCATGTATGTCCAGTTAGAATGAACCTCCATGTATAAACATGGATAGTGTATTTTCTATGATGGAATAACTATCAAATTTCACCATTGATTACTCATCTTAAAAAGGACACATTTTCCAATACTTGTAGAGAGGTCTTTGCTTCCAATAAAATGATCAGGCTGAGATCTTAATTCTTATGTTTATTCCAAACAAAGTCAAGATAAGTTGACATATTTTCATTTTTAAGATAAATCATTATTTCAAGTTATGTAAGGTCAGAATAAACTGAAATAAATTGATGAAAGTAGAAGTGTACGTAACAGATTTCAATAACAATGATTTAGTTTGTATATTCAACATGGTAGCACTTTTGATTTTTAACATTTTCTTCAAATATTTTCTTTTTGTTGTTGAGATAGGAGCTGTCACTGCAATTTTGAACATTTTGGGCTCAGTGAGATTAGTCATTTAGTCATTTCTTGCATGAACTAGTGAGGTAATCAGGTATTCCTTCAAATGTTTGAGAATAAAACGAATATGACTGTAGGTAGAATGATCATTTTCACAATAACAAAAAATCTAGATTGTCGAGAATGTCTTGCCACATAAAGGTTTTACCCCAAGGGAAGAAATAAACTCAAATGACCACAGTCTTCTATCGATCTTTAGCACTTAAAGAATTCCTGATATTTCTTGATTTTATTTATTAATGCACCGACACTGTGTCTGCGCTCAACAAAAAGCTTTTGTCCTAGGTGTCACTTCAAGCAATTAGCTCTTTTGTTATGACGAGCATTCTACAAAAAAGGATCGGGATAAATAAGTACAAAAAATCTTTAACCTAAACATATATCGGCAGAATCTTAAACATTTCTATAGTGTAAGAGTATTAAAGGGAAAAACAAATAATCGGGAGAAATGATTGATAAATGGGATTTCAATATTCATCTTCAATTATTATAGGTTGACTAAGGATTAACTCAGTATTTTTTAATTTTTGCTATTGAAAGAAATAGCACAATGTGTTTAGTATAGCAGGTCAACTTTTGTTACTGTTTTCTTTCAACATTAATTCCAAGATAAGACCCAGGGAGAATGTTAAGTAATGTCTATAAATCAGATAAACTTAGATTTAACCATTCAACACTTTGTTTGAAGCACACACTTACGAAATAATATAAAACAAACAGTCGCAGAAACCTGACACAATTCCTGAGATTTGGCAGGAGGGTCAAGGTGGCTAACTGGCCAAGTATTTGAATCTAAAAACTCTGTCGGTTCATTCTACAAACAACCCCCCCCCATCCTTTATAGCTGAAGAGAGTAAAAAGCAGGAAGAAAAATCAGACATAAACTCAACACTCTAAATTATAAAGAAATAGAAAAAAACATGATATGTCATTCTAATTATACAGAAAAATGATGTGTAACAGTCATGCCCAAAGCGACATCTATTGACTGACTATAACATTATCAAAAGCTGAATGAGATTCAGCCAATGTCAAGCATTCCTTGTGATGTTAGACACTTACCTGGAATATCGTGGACCCACACTTTTTTCATCATATGATGAGCTTGCAGTGATTGCAGAATCAGGTATTCCATTACGTTTCATCCCAAGGTCTTTTTTGCATTTATCTGAAAATATAAGATGAACATAGATACTAGATGTACATAAGATGTAAATTCATACAGAATAAGGAGTCTCTAGAATGAAACAAAGTTAAAAATTGTATGCGCTTTTGTGTACGAGACCTAATGACTCGAGGATAAGTTCTTCAACTCTTATTGTACCAGTATACCCCTTCCCCCTGATACATATCATGCTTATATTAGTTAATATCATATTCATTTTTACAAACACACACTATATTTATAAGAACATCAATATTCTTTCAACCATCAGGCCCGTAGCCAGGGGGGTTCACAGGGTTCACCCCCCCCCCCTGGTCAAAAATTCTTTCAAAATCATGCAGTTTTTCACCATTTTGAGCCCTTCTCAAGTGATTTTAGCCATATTTGGGCCAAAATTGTCAAATGTAAACCCCCCTGGAAATTTTTGAAAACTGAACCCCCCTTGGGAAATCCTGGCTACGGGCCTGAACCATTTTTAACAACTTACAAAACAAACACTTTACATATGAACTCTTATATGCAATTAAAGTACAACCTTCATACTAGGTAGAGATATTCTATAATAAATGATTTTCTCTCCAGTTTTTTCTACTAATTCACACATTATACATAGGAGCATTGTTTGTGAATCATAAAAGCTTGACATTTCTATAAAAGAAAGTTATTTTTCAAACAGAATCACCATATTTATATTTTGAATTTGACATCTCAATTCTCGAACACCCTATAATTTTGTCATTTCGCTCATATTCTATACACCGTTAATAACATCAAGTATCTAGAAAATTGAATTTGCTTCCGTTAAATATGCTTAAATAGACAGTTAATATGAATCTGCAACGGTAATTTTGATATGTAGAATTGAATTAACAGATTTGAAGTATGTTAGATGTGAGATATTCAATTTTCATAATTGTTGAGTAAGTTTGTAGACTGAAACCTTACCATCAATCTTAACGGTGAAAACAATATAATATTGGAACAAATTTTCCAAATTAAATATAAGGCTTTTTACTATTGTTGAAGCACTGTGGGTATAAAAGGCAGTAGGTCGGGTATACCTGGTATATTAACACTACAATAGCTCGAAGGTACTCTTGAGAACATGCCTTATGAGTCAACTCTTGAGGGAGCAAGAACAATCAAAATCATATTCAGTGAAACAAAATCAAAACAAGATTAACAAGTAGGTAAAGGACAAAACATAGATTGTAATGTCTAAAATAATATTTTGTTAGGCGAGATTTCTTGCCAGTTGGTTTCCATGGTGTTGTAATTATGCAAACATTCCACAAAACTCAAGTCACATCAATTTAATTCATTTTTAATCATGAAATAAACAATATACGATTTAGAACGGCTTCCTTGCTTATTCACCCTCCTTATGTTATATTCTTAGAGCTGAAACGTGACATAAATCTGTTTATATTTCAAGCATATTACTGAGTGGCAGATCTCTGACATCTCTATCCACCACATCCCATTCACTTTACATATATCATATCATACTCATTTTTTTTTGTTCTAGAAATGGGAGCAATGTATTCTGCCATCAGTGGAAGTAGTTCCATAACTCAAAATCTTCCATGTAATTACTGTATGAAAGTGGCAAGTGTTTTCTATATTATCTCAGATAAATATCTTGAACTTAACAGAGGGGTTATTCTAGGTGTTATGTCATGGTTAAAAGCTGTCCTGGTGAGCCATGTTGGATCCATGATGTTCCCATAATGCATTGCACCTGTTCAAAAGATCTCACTTTGATCCAGGAATTTCAAGATTCTCAAGATTTTCAAGAGTTGAAGTATTATACAAGTATATCTTGTATTTATATATAATCTGTGTTTACTTTATGACTATTGACTCTGTCCCTTGCTCATTCCATTCTTCTCTACTGAAACAGAACAAGGAATTATGAATATTCTGGAACACCATTAAGATGTAATAATACAAAACACCTGCTGAAATTAGCACCAAAATCATCAAATCCTATGGTTTATGTCTTGAAAAATAGGAGCAAATTCAACAACTGGAACCAATAGAAAACAAGGCATCTCTTCAGCTTTTGTATTTTGCAAGACAGCTATAGAGCAGTTCAATAAGTACGAGGAAACTGACAAGACCTGTTGATATACTTTGCAAATGCTCTCCATTGCTCTCAGTTTGGCAAGGGTAAGGTATTTATTGCAACAAGATATACAATTGGTTGCTCTGTAAGAATGAATGGAACAATATGTTGATTCTGTTACAGAAAATGGTTCAACACTTTGTAACCAATTCTACATTCTCATATTAGAGTGATTCCAGGTTGAGAGACAAGTGTGCACTACAACTGATGCAGTTCCAGATAGATTCACTGTACAGTATGATGCAGATTATCTAGAAAATATATTGAATTCAGGCACTGTCCATGTAAATGAGTACAAGATGCAAAGCATTGCTTTGGCTTGTAAGTAAGCTGTTAGATTGGAGAATCAACAAGTATGAAAATGGAAATGTATTTTACTAAGTATACAACAAGGGAGAAAGTCCTCGCCTAAATATTATGAACAATGGTCTCCCAAAGGAAAAAAATATCTTAGTCTGAAGATTTATGTTTTCAAAATTTGCTTGTTTTCTAATCTGATTACAATTCTAGCACACTGATCTCCTAAAGGAGAAATATATCTCCCTGAGAAGAATTTCATATTCTTTAAGATTTCTCAATAATATCATGTTTGATTATCTTCTAAATCTGGCCAAGATGCTAGCTAGCAGCAGGTCTCAATGGCTACAGCATGTTTATTAGCGGAAAACATGAAAAAACATTTAAGTACGATCACACTGATGAGAGAACTAATACGTTTATCTTTGTGTAAATCCTTTAAATACCTTTGAAATCTTGGAGAAGAACTCAAGTGTGTTAGTTTCACTTAAGGTAAACAGGCTCTTGGTCTTGTTTAGTTTTCATCAAGTCTACATTATATGGTTTAGTGTGTCTATATGTTTCAGCTTTATCTTGGTTTGTATATAGATTTTTTAGCTACTTTGTGATACAGGAAAATTAAAAGAACAATAGGGGAAAGTCAAGAAATGAGGGGGAATTTTGGTATGATAAATCATTGCATGCCAGCTACTTATGTTACAATATCAAGCGTGACACTCATTATATTTTACTAATTACATTAATCTGATCACACATTTGGATTTCATGTCCATTGTATATCATTCATTAGCACCTGTGCCAGAGACCAACCCACTCCCTTTCCATACAGGTATCTTTCACATCAGGGCTGACCATGTGCTGTTACAATAACAGATATAAACCATTAATAGAAATAAAATATCAATAATAGAAATAAAATATCAATAAAATTTCATATATTAATAATAATGCTGGGGGTATAATTTATAGGTTTTGATATTATTATACTATTACTGCCAAAAACATGGGAGATATCATGGTACCATGCTGGTCATAAATCATGAATATCGGTTTGTTTCGCTGTTCTATCTGCTATTAATATTTTGCTTTATGGAATATATTCTATTATGTTACCATGGCAACTATATATTTATGTTACTTATCCCTGTCTGGAATACAAAGAGATTTGATTGAAACCATGTTCATAAAATAGGATGAACTCATTTTATTATATTAATTTTGTTAATAGGCAGTATTAAAAACCAATCCATAAAGCTTTCTATTTACAGATTCCGAAACATCTACGATGATCAACATAAGCAATTGGCTAAACTTGGCAGGTTAGTTATGAAAACTTACGGACATCCTTCTGGTTTATTCCATATCTATTTTTGATGATGCCACACGTAGGTTAAAGAATTGCCACACATAAAGAATACTGAATCACTTAAATCTGGATAAGCATCTTTGCTCTACAGAATAAATGTAAAATATAGAAAGATACAAGATACTAGTCTTTCATTAAACATGTATGCCCCTTAGCTCCATATGGGGATGGATAAGAGGGAGGGGGAACAAGATGAGGGGGATTAGAGATCCAGAAAATTGAGACATCAATGACTTTCTAGTAACTGATGATGTGTTAAAATGCGAAAATACTTGCTTTGAAACAAATGCTATAATTGACAAAAGATTATTGGAAAATATTGGAATAAAGCGCAAAATCAACAATGTTTTGCTGGGGAAAATATGGCCTATTATTCTAGCCATTTATGACCATTGTTATGCAAATATCTGTAATTTCTCTAGCAATAGGTAAATCTGTAGCATATTTAACCTGGCATTATAAGCCCATTTGGCAGAAATAACTCATGCCATGATAATTTTCTTAACATTCTTTTTAATTTTCTCTCAAAATATGACTGTTCTTGCTTTTCTATAACATTGCATTTAGAGCATGTACTGGTATATTCCTTGCTGGTCCTCTTCACTTTCTCTCATTTTTGCAAGGTCTAAGTCAGACATATTTTCAATATATCATCATAATCAGGTTATTTCATAAATGAAGACCAAGTGCTATACCCTGTAGGATATGTCCATCGATCTTAAATATATACACATATACAGTTTTTACTTCTGCTATACACAAAGTAGACTCAAAACCTGAAATTGTTTGGCCCAGAGTTTGTAAAATTTTAGATCGCTTTTTGGATCAAAACAAGCTTCGGTTCTCTTGCTATATAGTGCTTGATTAAGCAATTCCAATTAGTCCTTCAAGAGGTAGTATATGCAATAGATACAACAATGTGATTTGTCTATGTATCAGATAGAATAGCACTTACTGATTGTTTGCAGTGACATAATGAAAACAAAGCCCTATAAATAATTAAAACTAAACACTGATACTGAAGTAGGACAACATAATAAACAGCTATGTGATCTTTATAATCCCTCATAATCCAGTGAAATTATGATAAGCCACATTTATATTAATCCAGAATATGTAGTAGATGAGAAGAATAAGTTAATTAAAGCTAATAACTGTCATCTCTAATTGGACATATATCATTTATCATCAATGCTCAATGATAAACCTGAA